ATTTTTCCCTGGCTTACAGCCTAATGAATAACGGACAGTTTATGCCGCGCCAAATTTCAGAATGTGACTCCTGTGTCTTTCCTTTACCCACAATTTGACGTGGTTTGTGATTATGATATATCCATCCCAGCATAATTGGCTGCGAGTAGAAGGGTAAGTAAATAATTTTTACTTCCCTGCTATCAGGTTGTAGTCAAGGCCTATACTTACAGAATTATACCTGAGGAAACTCATATACTCCTCAGTCTGACTTAGATGATGAAGTTCTGGACTTCGATGTCACTTTGTAACAGAATGAGAGTTTCAGGGACCTTAGCGTTCATAAATTTTGTATGTAGACAAGACATGAGTTATTGGGGTCCAGAGAGAAATATAGTAGTCCATCCTCAAGTACAACCCCAATGATTGTCACTTGTGTAGCCTTCTGTGAAGAGGCTAACAAATGACACCGAGCAAGATGCATGGCACTCATCAATTGAAATGTGGAATTATAAACACACATTTTAAGAAAATTCGGAAACAATTGCAAAAATAAAAGAATATTGAAGAAATGATGGAATGTAACTTCAAAAGCTAGGACGCACAACATTGTAACTTCTGTTGTATCCTTTCCAGGGTACTTGCCCCCTCAGGCAGTATCATGGAGATGTCCATTTGATAAAAAGCGCAGAAGCTTCTGTCAATAGCAAAACTTCCATACTCCAAACTATGTGAAGTCCTAAATGTCTGTTGTCATAATCAGCTATGTTTGGTGATAATTTTCTGTATAGCAATAGATAACTGCCTTGAACCAATACAAACCTGGGAATCTTTGGGGCTTCCTCATCTTATCTCATTTGTAAGTACTGCTGGTCCTGATCAGGGTGGAGAAGAAGATAGAAGGAATGAAAATTTCATGCTAGGCACTTCTTCTGTATAGGTAGTGCCTACCTTTATTCAGTCTAAGAAGCATTCTAAATTGAAAGGAATACCTTTAGGGGTTCATTGTTGTATGGCATTTTTGGTCCTGAAAGTGTAAAGATCTCATGTTTAAAGCAGTTTATAAATGTTTTATGGAAGTTGGGTTAGGGAATATTTATGTGCTAGATTTTGTTTTGTTTGATTGTGAGGCTTAAACTCTGGGCCTGGGTGCTGTTGTTCCTGTGCTAAGGCCAGCACTCTACCACTTGAGCCATAGTGCCACTTCCAGTTTTCTAGTGGTTAATTGGAGATGAGTCTCACAGACTTTCCTGCCGGGGCTGGCTTTGAACCATGATCCTCAGATCTCAGCCTCCTGAGTACCTATGATTACAGGTGTGAGCCACAGGTATGAGTCACCAGGGCCCAGCTTGTGCTAGATTTTTTCAGTGAGTACTGGGCTTCCCTTGCCTTAGAGACCCCATGATCCTTTGTTATGGATTACAGATCCACTCATTGTACTGAGGAAAATGGTGTCACAAAGGCTATGGACCAGTGCTACATACTGGGTTGGTGGCAGAACTAATGTAGAGTGCTGGTTACTAGTCCATTAGACAAAATTTGTTTCAGTTTGTCCTTCAGTGTTATTTTTGCTGTTTTAAGTGAAAATGATTCTATGTGAGGACCAAATGCTTTTTTTACTATGTTTTAACAGACATGAAAATGATCATTTCTGAATATGCCTTAAGGCAGCTCTCTGCTAGGTTCTTGAAATTGGAAAAAACAAAACAAAATAAACAATTACCATATGGACTCAATTTCACTAAGCATGATGTAGGTTATAGTTCTGATTTTAGATTTTAGTATATCCCATTTCTGATTTTCCATGTACTAAAACTAAAATGTAACCGTATGAGTTACTAGGAATTTCTTTTCCTGAAATTTGTCTCTGGTGTTGTAAAGTCATTTTAGATTTTGAGTGGTTTCTCTTGAAATTCTTGTCCTTATCAATCTGTACACATTGCTAAGCAAATGAATGCTGTTATGTTTTTACAAAATACATGAAGAATTGTTTTTACTCTTAGTTTTATACATTTGAACTGTGTGTGTGTGTGTGTGTGTGTGTGACAGCGTGTGTGCACACACACGTCAGTCTTGGGGCTTAAACTCAGGACCTGAGCACTATCCGCCCCGCCCCCAGCTTTTTGGTGGTTATACAGTATATGGGCTTTCTTGTCCAAGCCGGTTTCAAACCATGATCCTCAGTTCTCAGCCTTGTGAGTTGCTAGGATCACAGGCATAAGTCACTACTATCTGGCTTTAAGTTTATTTTAGTATTTTATGATCTGTTTTGGTGGTGTTTGGGAATGGACCCAGGGCCTTGCATGTGCTGGGGAAACTGCTCTGCCATTGAGCTCTGCTTCAGCCTAATATTTAGAACACTTTAAACACTCAGAGCCAAACTAAGTTGATGGAAAGACTTCTCATAGTTTATTTATTTATTTTATATTTTTGATGTGAAATTTGCTTTTGGTAGGGCTTGGAATACCAGTATACGGAACAATTTATTCTTGTCTGCTCTTCAGAGGATCAGCTTTAGAACCATTAATTTTTTATTTTGTACTAATACTGGGTATTGGTTCAATACTCAGGGCCTATGTTCTCAGTTGGCTTTTTCACTCACTAACTGGTGCTCTACCACTTCAGCCACAACCCACTTCTGGCTTTTTTGCTGGTTAATTGGAGATAAGAATCTCACAGATTTGTCTGTCTGGGCTGGCTTTGAATCATGATTCTCAGATCTCATTTTCTTGAGTAACTAGGACTACGAACCAGGTTTTTTTTTTTTTATTTTTTGCCAGTCCTGGGCTTGAACTCTAGGTCTGGAGGCTGTCCCTCAGCTCTTCAGCTCAAGGCTAGCGCTCTACCACTTGAGCCACAGCGCCATTTTTGGCTTTTTCTGCTTATGTGGTGCTGAGGAATCGAACCCAGGGCCTCATGCATGCAAGGCAAGCACTCTACCACTGAGCTACCTTCCCAGCCCTACGAACCAGGTTTTAGCTGGGTGCAAGTGGCTCATGACTTTAATCCTAGCTACTCAGGTGGCTGAGATCTGAGGATTTCTGTTTGAAGCCAGCCTGAGCAGGAAAGTTCCTGTGAGATTCCTGTCTCCAGAAAGAGCTGGAAGTGGCACTGTGGCCCAAGTGGTAGAATGCTATCCTGGAGCACAAAAGTGGCTCAAGGGACAGCTCCCAGTTCAAGTCCTGGAACTGGCAATAACAACAACAGAAAGTAACAAACCAGGTTTTATTATGAGATAATTGTAGGCAGTACCATTTTTAGAATTCATGAGTCTACGCTCATGAATTGTAATTCTTCTAGGATTTTTTTTGGCAACTATTTAGTTCCTAATATTCTATATAAAAGGTAAGTTGCGTTAGATGCTTCTCATTGGGCTATCCAACTTTTGAATCATTTCTTTCCTCATTAGAATAGATTGCTCACTCGTTCTCTTTGCCTTTCATGATAGCACACCAGAGACACCTCAGACCTGGACAAGGAGGGTTTTGGCTATTGTTGGTTTGTTTGGTTTCTTGCTCTTCCTTTCCTGTCAATCAGTGTGGCTTTTCTCTTCTTAAATCTGCTCTTAGTCCCAAGCAACCTAAGTAACTGGACTTGCTTCTTCTTTTTATTCCTTTTTTGGGGGGGGTGCTATATTAATGTTCGAACTTCAGATTTCCAGCTAACTAGGCGGGTACTCTTATGACTTGAGATATACTTCTAGCCCTTTTTGTGTGTGTGTGTGTGATATTCTGGATGTGGTCTTTCATTTTTGCATCATTTGGCCTGGGATAGCAGTCCTGCTGGCTATGCGTTCAGCACGGCAGGGATCACAGGTATACACAGCTATACCTAGCCTTCTTGTTGTCCTTGGCTGTAGCATCCTGACTTGTCTTCCTATGGGAATGAGTTTCTTAGCATTGGAAAGAGTAACTTGTTTGTAAAAGCGAGCTACCAGGAGGTGTTGGGGGTGGGGGGAGAAGGGGTGCTTCAAGGAGGCTCCTGGCACATTGCTGGTATTGCCAGCATGCTTATGTGGACCAGCGTGTGTGGGCATGCAAGGCAATTCCCTTCCCCAGGGCCCCAGCAAAGCCAATGCAGAGAGCCCACAGAGATTCACACAAACTCAGTCACACCAAGTGCTTCCTTTTTTAAGAGTAGGAAAGATGAAGCCTAAGCTAATTCTGGCAACAAATGTGTGTAGTTGAGAAGCAGCTGACTGTAAAACAGATATACTGTGGTTCCTGTGTGCGCAGCCATTTATGTTAATGAAAAGCATTGGCTTGTGAATGGAGGATTTGGGTTTTGAAATTAGATATGCGGGCAACCTCGGAGGTGAAAGATAGATTTTCTTTTTCTTTTTTTTTTGGAGGCAGCTTCTGAGACAGGTGCAGAGAAGGAAAGCGCCATTCCTAAACCCTGTGGTGGAGCCAATGAGCAGCAGGCTTCTCCTGGGTCCTGTACAATGGTGTCCCTTGCCTGTCAAGAGCTGGCTCAGCAACCAAACCCAGATTCCAGGTGTGGTATTCCACACTCGTTCTTGTAATTTGTAATCATAGAAACAGAATGTTCCTCCTCTTATTTCTTCCTTGCCAACTGTTTCTGGGTGGGTGAGTGTCAGTAGCTGGAGTTATTTTTAAAGAGGAGAGAGGTGAGGCTTGTCGTGCGAAGCTGAGAAGAGGGCGTTTGTTTGCAGAGCAGAGCTGACATCAAAGTGTAGATTGCTGCTCAGTGGCTAGGCACTTGTCCTATACCAGGTAATGTTTAACGTGCCCCAGGATCACAAAGATCACAGAAACGGTGTATGCTTGGGCACAAGGTAGCAGGACTATTTATGCTCCCGAAGACTGAAAGACCAAATGAACTCACGGATTTATGGTTTTTTTTTTTTTTTTGCCAATATACATATGAATTGGTCTCCTTGCTGCCTCTTTGGCTGAGTGCAATTGGACTTTGAAGCTGGGAAGTTCTATCATAAAAATTTGTAACCTCTGTCTGAGAGCCAGCTCGGCTAAGCAATCACTTTCCAATTCTCTTCGCAGGATAATATAAACGTTTTTTTGAAAGCTTGTGAACAGATTGGTCTGAAAGAAGCTCAGCTTTTCCACCCGGGGGATCTACAGGATTTATCAAATCGAGTCACCATCAAGTAAGTCTCAGTGTTTTTTTGTTTGTTTGTTTTTTTAAAAAGATGTATATATTTAAACTTAGGGCATGGAGCTTAAGTGAAAATAATTGCAGAGAGTTTTTGTGATTGCTGGAAGATCATTCCTCTCAGCGCCTTTCTCTGTTCTGATTCCAAAATAGATGACTGTTTTAACAAAATGACTTGGGGACTGTGAATGAGAAGCTGTCTGCAGTCGATCTCATGTTATGGGCTTGCTGTAAATCTCTGTACCAACCGAAGTGTTTTTTTACAGTTTAGCAGTTTCCAACGTAGTTGTGTTTGGTTGCTAATGGTGAGGGAGATTCATTATATGTATAAATTCAGAGACAATTATTATAGTTTATAGAAGGAAAATAATTCTTTCAAAATAGTTAAAATGTTTTTGGAATTAAGACATAATTGTTAATAGTAGGATCATGTGTATAGTGGTTGATATTTGGAAGGCAACAGTGGCCTGGAAACTACACTATGCCCATGACTTTGTCAAGTTATTGGTTGTCTTTTTTTTTTTAATTAAAAAAAACCAGTTTACAAGTATACTGTTGAACTTTAGAGGAAAATGGTGTTCAGTTGTGAACTTATGGAATCAGGCAATCTGGTATAAAACTCTTAGGAGAGGTTGTCTGATAAATCTAATTAGCTCCCAGGAAATCAGTGAAAAGATGTGTTCTAGGTAAAATATGACAGGAAAGTTATTTAATTTTGTAATAATGACTGACTACTTCCTTATCAGAGCTCTTAAACCCAATTAACATTTTACTATGAGGAAATACATCTTTTAACTGCAGAAATAATGGAAATAGAAAAGGCACTATTTACCACTTAAACAAAGATCTATTTAATGTGGTTAATATCTTTGTGCTATAGTTTTAGTAGTAGTTAAAAATTGTCTAGAAGATCTTAAAAATGGTCATTTTCCCATGAACAGACATACTTATCTACATATTTTTGATAGTAAACATTGTTTTCTAATAGTACAATGTAAAATCTTAGGTAGTATTAGTTTTTAAAAGTCTTAACAGTAAATCTATATTTAAAAAATCATAACCTGTTTCAAACTTACCTGCATCTACTTCTGTTGAATGCTTTTCTAACTCCCTAGCAAAGATACATCGATTAGCCCAAAGGTAGTTGAAATTGTAAGTTTTATTTTGGGCATATTTTTTTTCTGCAGTATGGAAAGTTCTGCTTAATATCCATAAGAAATAAAAAGAAATGAATGCATTTCTTTAGTTTTTCCTAATTATTATATTAGGAAGATGTGCGCAAAGAAAATTTGAAAGTCTTCTTTTTCTTAAGTTGGTGCTAATGGGACTTGAATGTACTTCCTTCTAAAACCAAATTGTTTTTGAAACTGCAGCTTCTATTTATTTGAGTAAACTATTGACTAGGTGAAACATGTTTGTTGAGTACTAATTTCAAGGGTGCCATGTACAAAGATAGCCTGGGACCTCTTTCAGGAGCTGTTGTGTATAAAACATTGAAGGAAAATCAGTATTTGGCCTAAGCCTTCGGTGAAATTAATTTACTGTCAAAGTGAAACTGGGAGGTTACGTAGCTTCAACCTTAACAAGAAGTATGCAGAACAACTTGTTTCAGTGGAAACTCCTTGTCTATGAGAGCAAGGTGTGCCTCAGTCTTTGCAGTGAGTGAGAATACTTCAGTGAGGACTCTGACTTAAGAACTTTCCTCCTGATAATTTGTCTTGTTGGGCCAAAGAACAAAGTGTGGCTCTGAGTCTGTCTCAGCAGGGGCACTGGAGTTGGCAAGTGACTTTTCAGGACGCTGCTGCTCTCAGATAGTTACTAACGGAAACAGATTGAAAGAAAAACAAATAATGGCTTACTAAGAATGCATTTGTTAGTTTTTAATTTTGGTTATATAATGTGGAGATGTCTGCAGGTCAAAAGTCTTGTTCTGTCATTCTTGTAGATTAAAGGACCTGGTACTGGTTAGATCAGTGGATCTCAATTAGAGTTTTTGCCTCCCAGGCCACCTTTGATAACATTCAAAGACATCTTTTGGTTGTTCTAGCTGGGATGAGGGTGCCACAGGTAACTCTAGTGGATTAGGAATGATGCTAAATTACCCATAAATGCCCAGGAAATACTCTACAATGAAGAATTTTCCTGCTCCAAAGAGTAGTAAATGGTGTTGTTGAGAAACTCTGGCCTAGACTTAGAATTCCTTAATCATCCTTCTTTGCCAGCCAAATAGCCACTGGGAAATGAAGGATACTGACTGTGGCAGATGTTTGACCCACTGTTACACTATAGCTTCAGATTTACTCACAAGGCTGCATTTCCGTGTTGGTTATTTATTTAACTGAGTCTCCTTGTAATTTGAGAGTGTGGATGTGTGTAAACACTTTGAGATTATTTTGCTCATTAGTATATGTTTGATTTACCAGAAATACAGCAAACCATGTGTGTATGGTGGGGAAGGGAGGGGTACCAGTCCTGGGGCTTGAATTCAGGGCCTGGGTACTGTTCCCTGAGCTTTTGTGCTCAGGGCTGCCACTCTACCATTTGAGCTACAGCTCTGCTTCCAGCCTTTTGGTAATTAATTGGAGATAAGAGTCTCGTGGATTTTCTTTCTGGGGCTGGCTTTTAATCACTGTTCTCAGACCTCAGCTTCTTGAGTAGCCAGGATTGCAGGTGTGAGCCACTGGTGCCTGACTCCCCATTTGATTATGATATATCCTCTAGCTACTTAGGGGGCTTACACCCATTGGTCTTCTTCCAAGCCCAATGTAACCATAATATTCTAATAGGACAAGAGGTTGGTACCATGTATGATGGGAACTCAAGGTGTGTTTTTATTGGTTGGTGGAGGAGATATATTGTGGGTATATGGAGCCTAATGAATGATTTCAATAATACAGACCCTATTTACAACTACTTTCTGTCAGTTTGAGACTAAAAATTAATTTGCTACAACTTGACACTAGTGGAGCAGACTTAGAGTACTCGATATTTTAGTAGTTATATCTATATATGATGTACTTTTCTAACTGACTTATTTTTAAAGGGCAAGAAGTAATAGTTTTAATCTTTCTAAGTATGTTTGGATGACTCTTCATTTTGATATTCTAGTTATTCATGAATCAGTTGATTCTTTACTTCTGATATCCTGACTTCATGGATAAGATCCATCTTTACTCCTTTTCCTTCCAAAGGGCTAATATAGACATGTATAATTTAGTTTAAATGAATGGTAGATGGAGGTCTACCCAATTTTGGGCCCTGAACTTCAGTTTGCACAATCATCATAAGCATTTATTAAGTATCCATACTACACTGAGCATGCTTGATTCATAGAGAATAGGTGGTGTCTGAGTGCACATAGCTTCTGTAAAAAGCTGTTGGGAACAAGCACATTGACTCTACAAGCATGCCATACATAGCACATGGGGAGCTGTGGTAGCAGATGTCATGATCTGAGTGTTTGAGAGAAAGCTGGGGCTTGAACACAGGGCCTGCATTGTTCCATAACTTCTTTGCTGGCACTCTACCACTGGATCCACACCTCTATCTCTGGCATTTGCTGGTTAGAGATAATGATCTCTTGTTTTTTTTTTTTTTTTTTGATGGTGATGGTTAATTGAGATAAAAGTCTCTTGCACTTTCTTTCCTGGGCTGACTTTGTACTGAGATCCTCAAATCTCTCTGATTTCTGTGTAACTAGGATTACAGGCATGAATAACTAGTGGTGTCCTCCCCTCCATCCTCCAGGCAAATGTCATGGTCTTTGTGGTGACTGTGGTGTAGAAAGACAGTAACTTATCAGGTAGCCTGGAGGCCCTGTGTTAGAGGACTTGACATTAGCAGAAAAGTAGGGCTCAATATTAAAGATTTTACTTTGTATTTAAGCCAATCCTCTAACCAGTTTTTATAAAAAAAATTTTTTAGTTGAAAATTCTGAACAGATTGTAAACATGTTTCTTCTTTCCACCCCCTTACCATTTTCATCTAGTTTTTTTTTTTTTTTAGCACTTCTTCAGATACATTCTGTTCATGTTATAATTATAGGGTGGCAATGCTTTTGAATATACAGTATTTCAATAATGCAAAGACATTATTTTCTAATGTAGGTTTACTGCTTTATTATTTAGAATGTTGGTATTTTCAGTTTAAAATGCAACATTGAATAGATATTGTTATTGACTGGTTCTTTTTCTTTTTAGTGTATTGAAGCAGAAATCAAGGATCTGTTATTTTTACACATGCTAGTTGCCAAAGGAATGTAGTTGCAAGTAAAAATTAATGTTAGCATCTTTCTATCATGAAAATAGAGGAGGCTCAAAATGATACATTAAGGGTGTAAGTGTTCTTTAAAAAGCTTCAAAAGGGCGCTTGATTTTTCTGGCAATACTGTAAACTCATTTCTCAGCAGTCAAGTTCCCAGATGGTATCCTGTTTAAACAGTCTGCCAAATTGAGCTGGAGGTATGTGTATGTGTCAGAATTTAAGGGTTTTTTTTATATAAGTATGAAAATTATTATTTTGAGTTCTTTAATTTTCATCATTTTTTGTTTGAAACCTGATTTTACATCTCTTTTCTTTTGGCAAGTGTCTTTCAAATGAGTATTTCAATTATCTTAATTGTGTTTTTCAAGCAAGTGTAGTGATATTCAAGTGATCTACAACTTTCCCATGGTGATGTCCACCACTGATGTTACTATTTTTAGAATGTCCCCTTCTTATTAGAAGAGGGAACAAAAAGGGAGCTCATGGTTCTGTGCACCTACCTTTGTGTCCCACTCAGCCATTTGTTGTGATTAGGGACTTACTTATTCTTCTGGAAGTCTGGGGCTGTTTAAGGTCAGCAGCAGAAATGTACGGCCAGGTTTCTAAATGTTCTTCAATGTGCCAACTTTGACTACCTAAGAGTTCAGTTGCAGAACTGAGAAAGTTTGGGAACTATGAAACAGATTTAACACTAACATTAGCCAGAGCACAATTGAAGTTTGACTTGGATCT